GAATATTCAAAGCCAAGCCATGGTTATGCTATTAATATCATGAACCACGATAGTGGTTAATAATAGGGATCGCAAGAAATTGCACAAAACCCCTAATAGAACGTTTGGCCAAAAAGCACCTTAAACACTAAAAATTCAGTTCAAACACCGCTTTAAAACTTTTATTATTGACTGCTAAGGTTGTGCACATAAAAAATGCACAAAAAGTACGCTCGTTAGACTTACAAGGAAAATAAAACCCGTTTAAAACTGCCCATTTGTAATTATTTTTATTATTATTCTTTTGCCAGCCTGGAAACAAGATAAATAAAACATTTGGAATTTAAAAACCTGCAAATACTGTAGACATTATTTATTCAAGCTAAAAATCCCTATTTTGACTCCACCAAATGTAATTCTAGGTAGCAACTCGGGTTATAGGATTTTGTATTCTTATCTTTAATTCATTTCAAAACTACGTGTTTTCCTAACATCATGAGTAGAAAAGTTATGCACATAGGCGGAGGAACCGGTGGGCAGGGGAGGCGTAAGCCTCCTCAAGTCTACGCCTGGTATACGAAAGCAAATAAACTGAAAACAAATACTCTTAAAATATCACTAATACAAGTGGGATTGTTTCATCAGCATGACAAAAAAAAAAAGGTTTACAAAATTCACCACATCGCAAAATTATCTGCTTGTGTTTTCACCTTAGTCTACTGTAAAATGTTACTTAATTGTAGCCATTTTCGTCAATATATTTAACAAGATACTTAGAATATAACGTGCCCATTGATACGAACTCGCAACGTTACTAGCAAAAATAAATACAGATCACAGTGCTGGGGTTAAAGCATTTACAAAGTAAATGTTGCGTTTGAGCCCATGATAAGCAGTACGTTGACTTCAAGATTTTTTTTATATATTTTCAAGTATACACTTAGAAGAATTTACCTCCGCGCTTGTCGGTACTAGTTGTAGGAAGAGCGAGTGGGATCTCAAGAAAGAGATCCATAAAGGAGTTGGCACAAGCGAATGAACGGTCTGTTATAGCATACACAAATACCCCCTCCCCATTCTCTCTCATATGGAAGGATTGGAGGGTTAATGCTCCCTCAAGGATATTGCGTAGCGGAATGATGATCAAAGTAAATTTTCCTTGAGTGAACTTGGAGGTCATAACGATATGCACATTTTTATATTGCCAACACATTAAAAGCAGGGCCTACTTCCGCAACAGTAATTTTACATAACGTAGATATGTAATACGTAATTAAAATACTCAAGCGATTAACGTTTTTCTAGTACACAATTAAAAACACCACGGTCTTAGAATAAATTTATTAAAAAAACTTTGATCGTTTGGATATTTTAATCATTTGGATATTAACCTTTTAATACGATGTAAGTATTTCATCAGTATATTTACGTTTTCTTTAATTAAAAATACTGTAGATAGCTTTTATCTCTTAAAATAAAGCAATTCTACATTTTTGGTTCAAGTACCTAGACTAGGTTGATAAATGCCGATTAGACAGAGATGGGCAGCTGGACTGGCAAATAAGCAGAAATAAGTAAATTAACAAAGAAACAGAAACAATAACCATATATGGATATATATGATATATAAATGCTAGCTAATGAATAGTTAGATAAGTAAATAAACAAGATATAATTTGTTTGTTTCTAATTAAGCACAAAGCTACGCATTGGACTATCTGTGCTTTGCCCACCACGGGTATCGAAACCCGGTTTCTAGCGATGTAAGTCCGCAGACATACCGAATGAATAGAGAATGAGAAATAAAAAAAAAGAAAATCAATAGAAAACGATGTATGGATACAAAATAATGACAAATAATAGCAAGATACGTAAATAAACACTAGTAAATAAGTACAGTAAATATCCATACCTAAGTATATAACGAACTAGTAAATAAAAAAGGTAAGTTAACTAAAGAAAGAAACATATAGAAAATCAAACATAAATATTTAAAATAGATATGTAGGAATGGCCGAGGTTAATCTGATGATGGAAGCTGTTTTATCATCAGTACCGCCAAAGACCGTGTGATCGGGTTGTATATTTATTTGTAAGTCTATGATTTGGAAGCAATGGAATTTATATACTCAAAAAATAGTAAGTCGTTTGGTAACAATTTAAAAAAAAAAACAACAACAACTAAAAACGCACCTTCACGATGACGAGGTTCAAGGTTAGTGGTCGTCAACCTTCAAGAACTACTACACGCGAACGCGTTCAAGGCTTGCTTAAAGTCGTTGACCCGCATACATTTTCACGTCTCCCTCGCGTTCATATCAAAAAGGAGCTTTTACGACCGCGTCCCAAATTAGTGTTCACAGAGATGTAAAAAAAATACTGTGAAATGTTCTTCTAGTTTGTTTGGTTTTTATGGTACGACGAAGAGCACGAAGCGCGTCTGTTTATTCAACCATGATAACTATGAGGTTAGGACAGAAAAGTTTCAGTTAGAACATAAGAAGTAACTGTACAACGTTCATTTATTTAATTACGTTAACTGTGAGGTTAAAAAAACACAAGTTTCAGATGGTATATACGAAGTCTCTTCATCGTGTACAACGTTTATTTGACTATAGTTCTGCAGAAGAAAATGAATTATCAAGCTTGCGCGCATTGAACAAATTCCACGACGCGTGTAACACTCGGCATTTTTATATTTTTCTTTGTTGATAAGTATTAGATTTTTGAGTGTATTCAAAATTTGTATATATACTTACCCTATTCTAAACTGTGGTGTATAAAATGACGCTAATATTTTACTTGAATCTACTGAAAATTAATCGCATTTTTGTTAAATACTTGCATGAGTAGCAAATGTTTTTGTTGTTGTTAGGCGCAAAGCTACTCAATGAGCTATCTGTGCTGTTGCTACCACGGGTATCAAAACCCGGTCTTTAGCGTTACAAGCCTTCAGACTCACCCCTGAGCCACTAGGGGGAAAGGCGTAACAAGGGAATCACGTGCTCAAAATATATCTCTATTTTTGTAGAATAATAAAAACTTTTTCGGGTTTTGTAAATTCGTGAAATACCATCAAAAAAAAAAAAAACGCCCCCCAGTGGCACAGCGGTATGTCTGCGGACTTACAACGCTAGAAACCGGGTTTCGATACCCGTGGTGGGCAGAGCACAGATAGCCCTTGTGTAGCTTTGTGCATAATTAAAAACAAAACAAACAAACCATCAAAATACTCTTTAAAAAAATCAGATCTATAGTACTGTTAAGGTTAGAGAAATTATGATATTACTTGAAGAACTACGTGTGCGTGTGTGTTTTAAGCTATGAAATATAAACTATGAAGTTTAAACACGTTGCATGAAGAACTACGTGTGCGTGTGTGTTTTAAGTTATGAAATATAAACTATGAAGTTTAAACACGTTGCATGAAGAACTACGTGTGCGTGTGTGTTTTAAGCTATGAAATATAAACTATGAAGTTTAAACACGTTGCAATCGTTAAGATACATGTTGTCGAGTTGGAATGTGAACTGACTGTGCCATAAGCAGGCCAGATTCTTCTGTCTGTGTGGTACACGACAATGTGTAACCTCTACATGGCATTTCATGTGCCCACGCTCAAGTAAGCTTCACTGTGATTTCGAATCTTCCAACAGGACATCCGCACACATGCAGATGATAACAAGTTATGGTTAACATTCTTTCATTGTAAGTATCACATCTGACACGTGTTGATCGTTAGATACTCTGGCATGTTGGTTGACAGGTCTTCTCTGCTGACCAAAATCCATACTTGCATGTTCTTATTAACAGAAAAACAATGATAGTAAAGATCGGTGTTCATAAGTCCAAATTCAACACATTTGTGAATTGTAAGATATTAACTACGCCTCAAATTTACTACATAGTAGTTATGACTTTTTGTTTGTTTTGAATTTCGCACAAAGCTACACGAGGGCCATCAGCGCTAACCGTCCTTACTTTTGCAGTGATAGACGAGAGAGAAGACAGCTAGCCATCACCGCCCATCACTAATTTTTGAGCTACTCTTTTACAAGCGAATAGTGGGATTGACCCTCACTTTATAACGCCCCAGGGTGGAAAGGGCGATCATGTTCAGTGACGGGAGCAGTTATGAAGTTAACCAAGTGCAAGGTATTAACTGAACTATGACCTTGTTGTGTGTGTTGGACAGTGGCGTAATGGGCACTAAAGGTATACAAAAACCTGATGTGAGAAATGAGAAAACGTTATGTTCCCCAAATTAAATACTGTAAACGCGTTTATTTGTTTTATGTTGATTATAAGATAGCCTCCTTACTTCCCTAGTAAAGGATATTGAATAATCCCACGTTCTCTAAATCTTCGTTACCACGATAACATATCAATCTGAGATATGTTTTTTTATATTGACTCAATCTTGACTAAACCCCAAATTCTCTAAGTGGATGTGACGAGGAAGTACCTCAGTGTTAACTAAAACATAAACCAACTAAATACGTACGAGAAAATAATCTCTACGTTTGAAATGTACTATCTTTTTACCATATCCCGAAACAGTTACATAAGTATAAGAAACATAATCTCTACGTTTGAAATGTACTATCTTTTTACCATATCCCGAAACAGTTACATAAATATAAGAAACATAATCTCTACGTTTGAAATGTACTATCTTTTTACCATATCCCGAAACAGTTACATAAATATAAGAAACATAATCTCTATATTTCAAAAGTGCTGGATTTCGATTTGCTTTTTTAAATTCTAAATTCTGCGTCATGAACATAAAGGGAATAGTCGTTACATTTCAATGTCAAACACCAGGATTATTTTCAGTTCTAGCTTACATGACGCTTTTCGTTTCGTCATATGTCTCGTTCGTCTTCAATTATAATTTTTTTTTGTATGATTCAATGCATAAAGAAACAGTGTCGCTACCTCCCTAAACTTTCTTAATTTAGCTTTAACTACAAAACTTGAGTAAATCATTCGACGATTGGTTGAGTTGCTAACCCTACCTTTACCATAATCGTCCAGCTTCATGTGTGGAGTGATACTAAGGGGAGAATCCGGAAGATCATCTGAGACTGATAGAGAATAGCTGTGCTCTGATTGGATCCTGGGTGATTGAACAGCGTCCGTCATCATTCGATCGTGAAGTATGATAGACTGGTTGTCTAGTATGGTCTGCCAGTATTGTTTCGTAATCATACTCATCCCTTCTATACTCTAAAGAAGAGAAAACATACAACCTGAATAACGTTTTCAGATATACTGCGAAGGTGTAGTAACAGAGATCAAGATAATATAAATAAACTAAAGGAAAATTGAGATTAAGCTTAAAAACCTTCCTACTGACATAAATTGGAAAAAAAAAGTTTTTTAACATCATCCCTCTGTTTGTTTTGTACATAACTCTGTTTTATACAGAGGTTGAATACGTTGTACTAAAGCTATTTTAAAACCTCACCACTTCGTTACTGTCCATTTAGCTACGCCAGGTCATGCTCTATCTAACAACTGTGCATCTTGACAATAGCCCTACAGCATAACTTCCATAGCAAAAGGCTCAGTCATAAAGATGTCGTGTTCAACGCACACTCCTCATACCTGTTTTTTTTTTTCCATAAGATATCTATTATACGAGGATGATGGTTTGCCAGCGCTAGTTTCAAAAATCTTATCCTACAGAAATCCGTACCTACTGCGTCCAGCAATCTGACCAATATGTTTTCATATGGAATAGTATGGGTACGGGCTACATTCTCCAGCTCTCTGCGGTATGCGACTATTGGAAGCAACTTGTGTAAATGTGTCAAAATGTAATTCTGATACACGCCATTCTTTGTATCGATTGTGGTTGTCATATGACTTGCTGATTTGCATATTTAAAATTGTTTTATATAACTTACTCAAACGTATGTATTCTTAACATTTAATGAATAAAGTTTTTATTAAGAAGAAAAATCAATATACAAACAATAAATTTGAATTATTTATCAATAACCTTAAATTATTTATAAGGTCATAATTTTGAATTTTCTTAAGTTTGTGGCTTTGCAAAGTACACAGAGAATATTTTTTAAAAATGTATTGCTTAAGTTTATACGATTAAATAACACATAAAAGTGTGCAATAATATTTTAAAATTGTGTTAATTTATTCAAATTGTCTAAATGACCTTCTGTGATCCTTTAAAGTTCTCAATATGCCTTGTAATTAACTGTTAACCAATTCTTATTGTTATTCGTTTAAATAACGATGCTAGTGGATATCACAAAGATCACGTGCAAAATGATGAAAACCCTATAACCCGAGCGCTTTCGAAAGATGGACCTTTCTTCTTCAGGAACGAACTGGGAATGGTGGTGTAATCGAATGAGTGATATATAAAAGTAGTTGAGTGACGTCATGAAGGTCATCTGATCTTCCAGGAAATGTTTAATATATTTTTTCCATGTACTGTTGTAAGTGTGTTTCACTTCCGGTACAATGTGGCAGACGACGAGAGCGTCATGTAAAAAGGTGTTAGGGATACAGTATTTTGTTTTAGAAATGGTTAAAAAAGAAATAAATAAAACTATACTTAAGTGTTTAAATTAAGTAAAATAAAGGTGATGTTAAGGTAATTGATTTATACAAACAGGTATTTCTAACACTTATTATCTTAAGTTGATAGTAAGTGTTAGAAAAATTAGGGGCCACGCTACATGAAATAAATAAGCAAAGAATAAAAATTATTTTTCTGACAGAGATGAAACCAATGATCGGAGATCACTGATTCCAGGATCTAGATTAATTCCTCATGATTGAGTAGTGTTTAGATGTGCGATCCAGTTTGCTTCTTTTATCTCTGTATCAGCTTTAGTTTTGAATCCTGTTCCGATGTCGATGAGATTAATATCGTTAATGGAATGACCAGGTTGGTTAAAGTGTTGAGCAACAGGGAATTAATAGAAGATTTATGATTGTTGAAACGAAGAGTTGTTTGTGTATATCCTACATATTGATGGTTGCATTTTTTACACTGTATAAGATAAATGGTGTTTTATGTTCCACAAGTGATTTCTTTGGTTGTGCTTGTCAGAAAATGAGTCAGTAGGTTTTATGAACTTGCAGATTTAACAACGAGCTTTATTGCATGGATGACAACCATTTTTTGGAATGATGTAATTCACTTTTGTGTGAACAAGGATATCTTTTAGAGTTCTGCTTTTTCGGAAGGAGACAGCGGGAACTTCAGGAAATATCTGTTTAAGATGATCGTTAAGTTGTAGGAGATGAACATGTTTTTTTTGTTTTTTTCAGAATTCGTGAAATGTTTCTGAGTTTAAAGTTGTGGATAATAACAAGGAGAATTCTATTTCAGGATGTTTTTCCACTGAGTGCTGTTAGCAGTTTGTCTGTCGATTTCGGTATCTTTATATCCTCTTTGGAACATAGTGTGTTTTCTGTAGTCTGTTTCATCTGAGCATATTTTCTTTATTCTAAGAGCTTGTAGGTAATATTGTGTTTAGTGTAAGTGGAGTGAGAGATGTTTTAGTGAAGGTATTGTAGTCTGTCCGTAGATTTTTGTATAAATCGATGTGTGAAATTCCGTCATTTATAAAGACAGTGATATCAAGAAAGTTAATCTGGATTAGGCAAGTAATTAAAGGTAAATTTGATTGTTTTGTGAAAGGAATTTGTATATAAGAAATATTCTTAAAGTGATTCAAGACTGGCTGTCCAAATAAAATAACATGTCGTCTATGTAACATTTCCATGTATCAGGTTTTAATAATTTAACTAATCAGGAATTAGTTGTAAAAGCTGGCTTTCAATATAACCCATAAAAATGTTGCTATAATTGTAAGCCATTTTGGTACCCATTGCAGTACCAGTAACCTGAAGACAATGTTCATTATTGAATTCGAAGTGTCACGTTAAATGCAACAAACGTAGAAATTTTAACAAATGGTGAATGGCTGTTCAGAGCTAAGTTAGCAATATAATTGTTTAGAGTGTACTATTCTGTTCTTTTTAAGTATCTTATCTCCAACCACAAGATATCATACCTCCAACCAATAAAGTATCTTATCTCCAACCAATAAAGTATCTTATCTCCAACCAATAAAGTATCTTATCTCCAACCGACAAGGTATCTTATCTCCAACCACAAGGCATCTTACCTCCAACCAACAAGGTATCTTATCTTCAACCAACATGGTATCTTATCTCCAACCACAAGGTGTCTTACCTCCAACCAACAAGGTATCTTATCTCCAACCAACAAGGTATCTTATCTCCAGCCAACAATGTATCTTATCTTCAACCACAAGGTGTCTTATCTCCAATCAACAAGGTATCGTACTTTCAACCAACATGGTATATTATTTCCAACCACAAGATATCATACCTCCAATCGACTAGGTATCTCATCTCCAGCCAACAAGGTATCTTATCTCTAACCACAAGGTATCATACCTCCAACCAACAAGGTATCGTACCTTAAACCAACAAGGCATCTTACCTCCAATCAACAAGGTATATTGTCTCCAACCAACCAGGTTCCTGTCATCAGTGTATTGTTTATATATATATATATATATATACACC